CCCCCCCCCACACACACATACTTGTAAGTTCCCATTGGGTGATACTGGGCAATAGAAATGAGGGAGATGAGAGTTGATCAGCCATGTCACACTGATTGCACCCAGCGTGTGATGGGATGTTGAGTTGTGGTGTGCTTTGTTTGCAGAGCAGAACCTCCCATGGGGCCGGTGCTGCTGATGGCTCCAAGGAGAAGCACTGTCCGTGCAGGAGGCCATGCCCACTGTCCTGACCACCTGGAGGTTTCTCACATCTCGCGTTTAAAGTGTTGATGTAGACAGACACAAACTTATTTAGCTTCTGCCTTGGACTTTGGTTCCTAATTTACTGGAGGGGGTGAAAGAGGCAGCCAATTTCTTAAAACCAACCAAAACTTTGTTTCTTGATTTCAGTACCAGGTTTGTGGAACAGACAAAGTTTTCTCCTGTATCTCCTGCAGGAAAGCAGTTCTGACTCACTACTCTTTTATTTCCTGTAGTCTTTTTGTTGAACTTCACTTACTTTTGAATTTCACTGGGTGTTATTTATTGAGGTAACACTGGTCTTTATTGTGTTGCAATGTAGATCAACGCTTGTATTTGTCCTTCAGCTGTTTGTTTTAGGTATAGAGTTTAATTTTAGCCAAATACAAATAACAGCTCAAATTTACTTCTGCAATTGCAAAATACTGGTTGCACAACTGCTGTCCTGTACTTCAGATGTCCACAAGAAAATCATTTGCCAATAATTCTTTCTATTTGTTTTGACTTAGTTCCAAAAAAAAACCAAAAAAAACCACCCAACCCCAACACCTCAGGTCCTTTGTTATGGGCTGAAGACAGCTTTGCTTGCTGGGCCAAACCTTGCTCCTTTGTTGTGGCACAATGCTGAGACACATCAGACTGAATATGAAAATATCCAGAAGGTCTGCAACACTGAAACAAAACTCACCCTGGAGGAAACACCTATGGAGCCTTTGTGCCTCCATTTGCAGAGGGACCAAGTTCTGCAAATCAGTGAGAAATTAAATTAGCATAAATCAAAGCTCAGTGTAAGGGTAAAACTAAGCATAAACTGAGCATTGCTTTAAATATGCTGCTTACCCAACTGCTTCAGTAGAAAAGTGTTTTGCAATATGGTTCTCCTCATCTTGAAACAACCGTTGGGAAACATTGGTAAGTTTTTTCTTTTGCAGAGGGATAGAATGCTGCCACGTGGTCCACCTGATGTTGTCCACATCCAGGGATGAGTCCTACAGTCTCTAATGGGACTGCAGGGACTTCTGATGGTGCATCTCATAGTGCTGTGTGTGCTGCTAAAAGGAAAGTTGATCACCTGAAGCTGTACTTTTTTGCAGACTCTCTAACTCCACATTTCACAAAACCATCTGGTGCTTTGCCAGGTCTCTCACAGTAACCAAGAACTGTTCAGCAGTTCATGTAAAGAATTTGCACTGAGAACAGCTTCAAAGATGGTAAAAGTCGTTGTCAGGGTGCTACAGTGGCTCTGTGTGCATCCTAGAAACTGATACAATACTTTTCCCTTACTGTAAATAGTTGAGTAGACAAGAACAGTAGTAGAAATCAGTTAATACAGTAAAGTTTCGTAGCCTCTCTTTCTTTCAAGAAGGCCATTGTGTCAGATGCCAGACATCCTCCTCCTCCAGAAAAGTTTCTGTAACTCTGAGGTGTCCCCTGGAGTCTCTGCTGACACAGGTGTGAGTTAGAGAACACTCAGCCTTCAGAGTTTGAGATGCAATTGTTTCAGTAATAAAAAAAAAAAAAAACAAAAACCACACCTTATTTAAAACAAGTGCTAGAGACTGAGGGCTTTGCCTGAGTTGTTTTTTTCCTTCTCTATAAACAGAAAAATCAATGGTCTTTGTTCTTTTCATTGGAGGAGGGGTGGGGAATTGTATGTTTTTCTCGCATGGGAGGGCTAATGGGATAATCTGGTCCACAGCACAATTTCAGCTGTGAGGGAGGCATCCCCATTTGATCTTTGCTAATGTAAATCTTCCATCTAGCCTTGCATGACACTGCTGGTGTGGAAAGTTCTGGGTTTATAGCACTTTGGATCCATAGCTTTTCTGAGCATCTGTGAAAATCCATACTGCGCTATTTGAGCATGGTTACCAACTGGGCTATGATTTGGGAGACCTGGCGTTTAACTGTCCAAAGGGCTGTAGGAGTTGTAGCACAGCAATGGTTTGGTTGCACTGCTGTGATGGCTACTGACAGGTACTGGCGCCTTTTGAAGTTACCACTTAGACACCAACATAGTGAAAACAGAACAATATGTGCATGGAAAGTTTAAGGTTGGGTGTTTTTTTCCTTGGCTGCAGGCCAGCAAGATCTAAAAATCTTCACTCTGGCTTCACATCTTTCCCAAAAATCATTCGTGTCCCGAGATCCTCGGGAGTCAGAGCAGATAGAACCAAGCTTGAGAGGCCCCTTCTATCCTTAGCTGTTCTGTGATTCATTGGGCTTCCTTATCTTTGACCTTACAAAGATTTTGTCAGTCTGCCTCCTTTCCTGCTCTGCACTGCTGGGAAGACCTAAAAATTTGGACCCAGGCTTCTTTTTAGAGACGATGACCCACGTTGTGCAACGACTCTTCTGCTTAGCAGCCACGGAAGAGCACGCTGTTGTTCTGCACGTCGTCCCACTTATGCTGGCTATTAGGTTGCAGCTTTTGAGTGCACTGGGAGACAGCACGGACACTGCTCCTTGCCTTCCAAGGGCCCTCAGCCTGAAATTCCCATACTGGAATGTCTCCTAGGTCACTTTCCAAACGCATCATTTACACTCCTGGAACATTCACGACCAGAAGCACTCTTCTTTCTTCTAGAATTAGTTTCTTCACTTTTGGTAAGTGCAAATTGTATCTTAAAAATTGGAGCCAGAGAGGTGCTTCAAACTTTCTTTCCTTTTTGATTTCTTGGCAGTATATTGGTGCTATCTTCCCATTGCTCTTGCAACCCTTGGCTCCAAGCAAGGACGTGCTTTTGCTAGCAGACTGTTTTTTAGTTTAGCCGGTATCAGAACTGACTCTCTGTTTTTCAGTCTGTACTTCTTTCTTGATTCAGGACTTTCAGTCTGTTCTTCTGCAATGTGGTAATGAGATCTGGGATAATAATGTCAAGCTGTATCTAAACAATTGGATTAAAGGAAGCCCTTGGAAGAGGACAAAGGTTGATGTAACATTGGATCACGTGGCCAATTGCGAGCCAATTCCCTGGGGACAAAGTTTTCACTCCTGGCAGGGCTTAGCAGCAAGCTTTCAGCTTCTTTCATCATCAGCATTTTGCATCCAATGTTTTAAAATGTTTGGGAAATGCAGCTTAATGGAGATTGAAGGTGTTATCATTAATTGGACTAACTTAAAAAATTAATATTGAAAAGCTCTTTTAGTTTTGTTGTTATTGACCTGACGCTGAGAACAGCCTGTGCTATTCTAGAGGAGAGGAGAAGGGAATGTATTTTGCTTTGGATGTTTGTGCTTTGTTTTCCAAATTTTGGGAGGTTGCATCACTAGACAAAACTGAGGAAAAAAACTGGGAATAAAACGGGGAAAGACTCTGTAATTCACTGTAGCTGCTACTAATAAACAAACAAAAATGTCTGAGCGCAAATAGAAAATATTTCCTAAGCTGTTTCTTCATGTTGACCTGCCCTTATTGCTTGTTTCCTCACAGACACAGCTGTGTCAGGGTCAACACACAGGTGTTGCTAATAGCACTATCAGGCCCCTTTGCCTCCACCCCGTGTTTGAAGTATTTTCTGTGCCAGTAATGCTGTGGAAGCTCTACTCATTGCCACGATCATAATGCTTGCCTTTCAGAACAAGACCGTGGTAGCGGCAAGCGAGAATGGACATCTATTTGCCAAATTTAAAATCAGAAGAGGTTTGAAAGTTGGGCAGACCTCTGTTTTTCTTTAGTGAGATTTTC